TTTTTCATCTTCATATCACTGAAAAATCAATGCTTGAAAATCTGACACCCACCTCACCTGGATAGTGGCAACATGAATACAATGTTGGCTGAGTAAATAAAAGTAGTTGCATAATGAGGTTTCCCAGAGGACAATACCAGGACCGCTGCTTTTCTTGATATATATTAAAGATCAAAACTTGAGGACACAAAATTTAGAAAATACACACAAGTTGGAAGAGTTTTGAAAGTTAGGAGCAATAGTGATAGACATCAAGAAGTTATTGAACCCACGGTAGGTTCATTTCACTGCAGAAAAGTGTGAAGTGACCCACTTTGGTAGAGATAGCGTGAAGAGTCAATGTGAACAAAAAGGTACAAATCTAAAATGGGCAGTAGCCCAGACACACCTGAGGCTTCAAAGTGGCAAGGCAGGTGGAGAAGTGTTTAATAAAGCATATGGAATCCTGGACTTTTTTATAAAGACTACAAAAGAAGTGAAAGCGTGATGAACTTTGTAAAACCTGATTTGGCCTCACCAGGATTGTTTCTAATTTTTTGCACTCACTTTAGAAAAGATATGACGGCTTCAGAGAGAATGCAAAAAAAAGAAATTATAAGAATGGTTTCAGGGATGAGACCTTCAGTTTCTTGATTAGAATTAATGAAGCTGGTATTGTGAAGAGAAGATTGAGAGCAGATTTAATAAAGGTGTTCAAAATCATGAGCGGTCTAGACAGTGAGAACTGTTTCCATTGACAGAAGGGTTGAGAACCAGAGAAAATTAATTTAAGGTGTTTGGCAAAAAAAAAATAACGGTGACACGAGACCACAAGTGGTTCGGACCTGGCATGCATTGCCTGAGAATGTGATGGAGACAGATGTAATCGAAGAAAATTGCAGAACAATGGGGAAAAGGCAGAGGGCTAGATCTGACTCATTTACTCTTCTAGACAGCCAGCACAGACCTACTGTGCCAAATTACCTCCCTCTCTGCTGAAATCAGGCTGTGATTCTATGATTTTGAATGTGCAATTTAAATTCCTTCAATAAACTAAGCATATTGAACAAATTCAGTGCGTCAAAAAATGAAAATGGCAGAGTTCCCCAAAGATAACTAATAAATGGAACGAAATGCAGCAACATTCACCACAATATGTGAAACAGAAAAGTTTGTTCAGATGTCTTTTATATCTACATACCTCTAAGAGGCCCAAGATTCACTGCGTGATACGTTCAACTTGGCAAGCATCAGTCCTTCATCTTCAGTCAGGAGTTTGATAAAGAAGCTTAACTTAAATTACATGTTAGCTTGGATTTTGCAGTTGGAACAATGGGGTAGAGACTGTCACCACATACGATCAACAGGGATTAAAACATCTTCCTATGTCTGCAATTGAATAGCTCAATGCAGAGAGCCAGGATGTTGTTCATACATTACCCTTCTCTTCCACAAACTTTATTACGCTGGTACCATGCTGACAAATTTAACATAGAACTCAAGGGGGACATCAGGGTCCTTCAGTGATCCATTGGGTTTTCACCAATCAAGCTATCATAGCCTTAGGACTGATCCATTCAAATATAAATTATTTTGTTTTAGCAATATGTTAAAGTCTTAATTCATGGCAAACAATCTCTGGCATGAAAATTAACTTCTTTAAATGCTGGCTGTAATGCTTTAAGATTAATTACTATAGAAGATTTTTCTAAATTAACCTTATTTATCTTTTCTCTCAATCCCATCTTTCTTTCCTCTTTTTATCTTGCTTTCCATACGTAATTTCTCATTTAATTAAATATTTTAATTGACGTTTCCTGGTTCTGCCACTTTGTGCCTCACTAAGGATTCTTCAGTGAGATCAGTTGAAGACATTTATTTTTGCTTACCATATTCACACAGTTCCAAACTCCTTTGAAGAGGGCAACATGCTGAAATAGATTTTTTAGTACCATAAGTTGCTATGCAAAATCATTTAGCAAGTCTATGCATTGCTGTGTGCTTCAAAAAGTGTACGCTGTTTATTCACTGTTCAACGGTAAATCTGAGCCATTACAATGAGTCCCTCTCACATACAGAAAGCATGGCCTCATTATGTTTATGAGTTTTATTCAGGCTTTATGCCTGAAAGTCAGGCTTCCAGCAGAGATGGTAAAACAATGCCTGTTTCCACACTGTTGGGATTCTATGATTCTGTGATTCTATGACTCTCTGCCTTAGACAAGCTTTCATTTGGAGTTGAAACGAGCAAAAGTTACATCTGCCCCTTTAGAATCCTTTATAGTCAGATTTCCCATTGCTTTCTGAGCATCAGTTGAGCTCCATGCTAATAAGGTGCCAACATTGATTCCATCTTAGAGATGTTAGTAGAGTCCAAAAGGAGTACCCTTAAGGTAGTATTCTTTTTCTATAAATAGTTGATATTGTCATTTGAAACTTTAGATGGAGTACTCCAGGATTAAGTTATTATATTTTAAGAAACCCCAAAAGTGTTTAACTATTTGAAGAGTACCATCCATTCAATGAAAACATGAAATGTTTGTAAATCACTTCCTTGCCATCAAGAGGTTGTGACTGAATGCTGCCTGCATCAGCAGAACATGAGGCTTTGGTTATGTGCTATTTCTATTTTTCATTTTGAAGATTCAAAGACGCCACTAACAGAATTCCTTGTGGACTATTTAGAACAGCAATACACTAAATTTTAAATTAATAAATACTTTGAATTTTACTAAAAATTGGGCCATGTTGCCAAAGCTTTGCTTTGCACACATCAGAGCAAATACAAGAATGTCAAATTTCAGACACACACAACAATTTAAACTGTAAGAGAAAAAGGTGCTGACTGGTTGTCAAGTCCAAAGTCATGCCACATGAGGTTATAGTCCAACAGGTTCATTTGAAATCACAAGCTTTTGGAGCGCTGCTCCTTCATCAGGTGAAGACTTCACTTTACAAAGGAGCAGTATTCCGAAAGCTGTTGGACTACAACCTGGTGTCATGTGACTTCTGACATTGTCCACCCCAGCCTAACACCGGCACGTCCACAACATGGTTGTCAAGTCAACTTTGATGGACTAAGGCATTGCCATAGAGAAAGAAAATTGGATTTATAAGCGACCCAATCTCCCAGGTAATTCAGAACATTCAAAAGGTTTGAACATTTTACTTTTGTTTCTGGGAACAGGTCCCTGTGTATGCAAATAACCCTTCTTCAGGACTATAGGGTAATACCCAAAATATTGTCTGCTCCTTTCCTCCAGATGCTGCCTGGCCTGCTGTATTCTTCCAGCCTCCTGTTTGACTACCTGGATTCCAGCACCTGCAGTTTTTTTGTCATCAAGCAAACAAGTGTTTGAATAGCTACACAATAACCAATTTAAAATAATCAGTTGAGGTGTAATGTACTTCAGTTAAACTCACAAGAAGAAAAATACATTGATAACTGGGACCTGTGCTCTGTCAATGAAAGTAATATGTTCCTTTATGCCTTCTCTTGAATTACCCAGGAACTTTGGGAGCCTATTTTTCTCATTGCTTTCTCTGTGGCAATGCCTTATCAATCAAGAGTTGACTTGCCAAATAATAGGCATCCTTTTCCACTTATGGCAGAAATTGTTGTGATCATCCAAAATTTGGCATTCTTGTATTTGTTTTAATAAGAGCAAAATGAAAGCTCTGGCAACATTGTCTCTCCTCAGCAATATTAAAAAAGAATGGTTGAAAATTTTTTGTAAGGTATAGGTGGTCAATCATAGTGAATAATTTAGATAATGTAAAGTTGCTTCATTTGATTATATTTAGTTACTTCTTTACTTATATTTAACCACGTTTACAAGATAACGCAGTATTTGAAAATTAAGGTCACGATTTCAGAGCACCACTCGAGTGATGATAGCAGTGTAACGGAGTATGAGAATGAATTGGATGACCAGCAGAGTTGGGAGGAGATCGTGAAAAGTGATATTGGAAAGTTTCTCACTGACGGGTGTGTGCGTATACATTGCCCATTCTCTCTAGTGAAGAACAAGCTTTATCTCATTCTACCAACAAATTGATGGAGAATGTAGACCTGGCTATATAGATGGGTTCAACTTTGGCTGCACCAATGAAACTGCACAGTGCAGAGTTCAGAGCCAAAGAGATTCCATTCTTTCTGCTGGGCTTACATTTAGGACAAGCAGAAGTTTGACCTCTTCCTTACCTCAATTTACCAGACGGTAGGATTACAAATGAAAACTGACATCCCTGAGTCTTGTCATAACTGACATGTCTGTTGGACATTCTGCAATTGGCATCAAACCTAAAAAATGCCACAGACGTTCAGCCTCTTTGTGTCTTTGAAAGGCCAGTTTTAAAATAATCTTGTGCTGCAAATGATTTTATGAAAGATTTGTATTTGTGGAGTATTTTCAAAGCTGGAAGGTGTGTCATTCGCAAAGTTTAATGGCTTTAGTAAATATAACAGTTAAAATAAATGTAAATCTTGTGAGTTAAGATCCAACATTTCTTTTGTTGTAAATGCCAGATAATATTCTGAGCTTTCCAGCAGGAAAATATATGCCACAGCATTGATGTTTATAGTTTAACATAGGAATTAATTCTACAGTGCAGTAGGGATTTAGATTTCTAAAATCCAGTGGTTTTCCATAGTCAGCCCCCATTCCAAATGCGTGAATGGAAATACTGTGTGATAGCCTAAAAGGAAAAGGAAATATGTTGTAGTGAGATAGTTGAAGACCTTATTACATTCCTATTAAAAACACAATTTGGACTGGCATTCAAAAAAGCCTTGAAGAACCCTTTTGGGAATTGTGACTGGAGAAATGATGTATGACTTTGATTCACCCGAAAGGGTGATCCAAACACAAAAGTATAAACTAAAAGTTCATTAGCCCTTGTGGTTGGCTATCTAAAATTCCAGTGTATAATGTTAGCATCACTTAAGCGTACGATCAGATTTTGGAAAATGTTGCATGCAAACTGTTTCTGAAGTTATCATTCACCTGTTTCACAAATAGGGCGTCCTCATAGGATTTCTGGAATCACTCGGAAGACTCCAGAAAAAGTTTTATGCCAAAAACGAACGTTTGAATTGCCCAATCCGAGTATACTTGATCGTAAAAAAAGGCGGTTCAGCTGTTGGATTAAAAGCTTTGAAGACGATTCGTTCCTGGGGGCTGGATGTTGATGAGACATTCATCCTTTCTGGCTTATCAGCAGCAGAACTTCTAAACAAAATAGGCCCTCATATTTACTTTGATGAACAGATGCTCCAGCCATCAAGTGCTGCAACCATTGCACAATGCAAGGCACGTTGAGGGGAGAGATGATGCTTTCAAAAATCATGCTGCAGTTTTTCAGAGTACCAACTGTACACCACAAGGAAAATTAAAATTACAGTACTGAAACAGTCTATAGTTGTTTGTTTTATTATAAATTATACCTGGATAAAGTGATATTTTTCAAAGGAAATGATCAGTAAGAAACAAATATTTGTTCAGGAGGATATTAAATTTAATAAGAATTATCTTTACTATATATATTTAATCAGTATGTTTGCATTTCTCATCTTTTGGATCGTTGTTCTTTAAGAACGGGAGAATCTTATTTTCACCATTTTTTACGAGATCCAGATGATAGTTAAGCCATTGTTTCTGAAATGTTTGGAAAAATTATTCTTTCACAAATTGTAAAGATCAATCTGTTTGTTTAATCTGAAGCTGTGATATTAAACTCTTTTATGTAATTGTCTATTTCATGCATTTATTTTTCTTAAATTAGACTGTTTCTCAAATGTCAATGCTTTTTTTGTTATTTTTACAAGTTTGAATGTGTCAGGAAGGAAGAACAAAGTTTATTCTAGTGCTCTATGGTGTTAAAACAAAGTAGGTTGTCTTCTAAGATACCACATTCTCACCGAAATTATAAGGCACAATATAGAGTTCCTTTCAAGAATTATGTAGTTACATTCATAATTATGCAAAAAAAGATGCACCACTTAAATAAGATTTACACCATAAATTTGGTCTCTTTTGCATATCCAACTCACAGGCTTGGCCAGGTTCCTATAAAATATGTTGACTATCAATTTGAAATTTGCTACAGCAAACATACCAGCTAGTCAGTGATGACATAACCAGTGATGGCTAAGGGCTTATTTTGGGAGAGGGCATTGGACATGTCGGAAATAATTTTAGTTGAATTAAACTTAAGATCTCAAATCTTCATTTCCATATAATGCTTTCCAGCTGGAATTTATAGACAAAATGTTAAAATGCATAAAAACTGAAAACAAACAGCTTCCACAAAATACATAAAATCTGTATTTATGGCATGAACAAGAATAAATATTTTAACAAAGCACCTTTTCTTAATACGACTTTGTGCATATCAAAATGTATTAGTATTAGAATTGCTTATGAATGAACCAAATATTAACTATCCCCTATCTTTTCCTACCCTGAACATTGTACAAGAAAAATATTGTTAACCTACAATGAAATTGTTTGAAGAACAAATGGAAATATTTCTTTGTTTTTATTACTAAGGGATAAAATCAGGACAACAGGCGACACTGACCTGCCTTTTAGAGTTACAGATAATGAGTGATTCAAGAGAATTGGTCAAAGGCTAGAGAGATTTTACAGTTTATTCTGAAATGAAATAAAACCAAAAATTGTGGAAGCTAGCGATGTGAAATAAAGTCATAAATTGCTGGAGAAACTCGGCAGGTCTGGAAGTATCTTTGGGAAGAAAGCAGAATTCACGTTTTGAGTTTGGTGATTCTTCATCTGATAAAGGGCTTGGAAGCTTAACTCTGCTTTCTCCCCACAGATGCTGCCAGCTCTGCTGAATTTATTCTGGAATATTTGCTTGAAAGTTCTCTTTCCAGTTCTCTGGGATAAAGAGTAAGGTATACTAATTTAGTTACATTTGAGTTGCAATTAATAATACAATAATCATAGATATAAAACACAAAGAATACAAATAAAGATTAGGCTGAGAAATGTCTGATGGAAATTGCTGGCATTCTTTTACTAAAAGTATTAGATTAATAAGATTGGAATGTTTGAATCAGTGGACAAAAATCTAACCTTCCACCACTGCCCGCCCCCCCACCCGCCCCATCCCAAACACCACCACCAAGCCTCACAGTGCAGCATGTGCAAAGGTGAGAAAGTTGGGAAAATTTGGGAATATGAATATATCAGAATCGCAACGTCAAGAAATTAATTTTACAATTCTCTCTTTAAGCCTTGGATGGTGACTTCAGAATTTGCTGTTGCTTATTTACATGCGTTTGCATCTTATTGAAGCCCGCTTCCCCATGAAACTATTCCTGACATGTAAGTCACAGCAGGTACCTGGTGACCGCAGGTTGCAGATTGCTTGTTCTAGCCTTCACTCAGCTGTGTCTTCAGCATGCTGTTCCTGCAAGGACACTATCACCTTTGACCCTTCAGTATCAGCAAACCAGCAGCCTCACCACATCCCTATATCTGCTCTCAAGATCAACCTGCACAACTCTTCAATCCTTCACCACTCCACTTTCGAGCTAAGGGGCAACTATGACTTGCACGGTCACTTTGCACAGGAGGATACTCATGCATTTGTACAGGGTACATCTTTTGGCTCTAAGCATGTTTTCTTAGAGCTCACTTTACATTTACTTGCAGCTGCCAGCCCATGTCCATTCACATTGCTTTCTTAGTGCGCTCTGACTTTAACACTGACTTATAGGCTGCCATTCTCTGTGAGACTCATATTGCTTTATCAGATAGAGTGTTCAGTACTCAGTTACACATTGCCAGGGGGAGAGACAGGCAGCTTGTCACAGTGGGAATTGCGGAGTTGTCCAGGGGTGACCATGTCACTGTGCAAATGGCAGCTCCAGCTGCAGACAGGAATTTTGTCAGCACAATGATGTGGTTTCAGAAGCTGCAAAGCAGACATCAGCCCTGAAAACAAGGCAGAGGACAACAGAGATGCCCCACACCAACTGCAGAGGAAAGCCTCAGGGGTGGACTTGAGGCAAATGTTTTCTTTCCAAAGTCAACTTGTTCAGCCATCAAAAGAAGATGATCTGATCTGGCCTCGCCAAAGTTCTGATGTTGCGTTCCTGCCACCTCTCAAAGATGGAAGGATGTCACCCAAACTGAGGCCCTCAGAACATGTCTAGTTACTGTTCTTGACAGTTTAGTATCTGATATGTCCCTTATACAGGGTCCATATATCTAGGCACTGCTGAAATAACTCAGTGCCATACTGATGAACTAAAGATCAAAAACAAAGTTGCTGGAAAAGCTCAGCAGTTTTGGCAGTATCTGTGAAGGGAAAAACAGAGTTAACATTTCGGGTCCGGTGACCCTTCCTCAGAAACGGTTCTGAGTTGTGAGGAAGGCTTTTCTGATGAAGCGTCTAGGCCCAAAACGTCAGCCTCTCTGCTCCTATGGTGCTGCTTGGTCTGCTGTGTTCATCCAGCTCTGCACCTTGTTGTCTCTGAGCTTTTCTAGCAACTTTGTTTTTGTTCTTGATTCACAGCATCTGCAGTTCTTTCGGTTTTTATTGATGATTTAAAAATCCCTGGTTCAATCCTGGGTTTGGGCAACGAATGCATTTAACTTTCCTTATCCAAAGATGATATTCCTTATTCTTTTATGACTACATTTGTTCAAATTAGTCAGCGTTTTGCGTCCATTTTAGAAATCCAATTGGACCTTGAGAGATTCTTTCAATCTGCTATACCTGCTGTGCTTTGGCTAACATATTGGCAAGACCGTTGGCACTAATTTAACGGCATTAATTGCTTTAAGGGCCTGGCAATGGGGGAAGTCCCGTTTTAGAGGACAGTTGGCCAACCCAATGAGCCTGCAGCTCTTTGCTCCCACCATTGCCGCTGGGAGCCGCTGGCCACTGCTGGTAGTGCAGGAAATCCCACTGGACTGAGGAGCCCAGCTAAGTCCGGGATCAGTGAATGGGGAGGGGGCTGGGTTCAAGAGGTCAGTGGAAGGACTAACAGTGGTACGAACTTTGTGAAGAATGACTCCAATGAACCCAGCAAGCCTGTCACAGAAATTCCCCTCTGCCCTTGTTCAGCACAAATCCGTGCAGCCTTTATGGGATGGGGCTTCTATCTGCCATGGGTACAATACCAGGGGCAGCTGGAAGAAGCATATAAAAGACTATTTCAGGGTCTCAATTGGCCCAAAGTCTGGTGGGAGGTCAATGTCTTCCTCCCCATCCCTTAGAATTCCCGACAGGTGTGTAGTCAGCAGGTAGACAATGTGCCAGGTTTTATGTAATCCCCAACTTTCAGACCAACTGGTGAGGGGACCCTAAAATCCAACCATTTGACATTTATTTTTGTCACTGTTCCCTTTCCCTCTTCAAGCTTTTTAACTGCTTAAAATCAACTTAGTATTTACATTTTAGATTGTTTAATATACTATCCTTCACTGCTCTGACAGTCTGGAATTGCTTTCTCATACTCTCACATAAACATTGACATTGTGACTCTTTCGGACAAAACATTCATAAAATACCACCTTCCCTGGATTTTTTCTTGGAAGATTTGCTTCAGTCATTCTGCTATCTGCCAAAACTTGCTGAAACGTCTCAAAAAACTTTCAGGCAAAAGCGTTCAGAACACTCACCCTGTTTTTGTGTGTCTAAAGCACAAATCTTTTACATCTTTAATTACATAAAGTGAGTCCCATTTCTTAGCTAATATTTTTATGAACAACTAAGGTATTTTATGCTACAATCTGGGTGATGTTTTATGTGTTATTCTCAATGGGAAACAGGGCCAGGTGTATCTTATTGACTATGAGATCCTTGATTGGGTCTTTTAACCTGGCCCAATGAGGGAGCCCTGGCTGACAGATATAAACAGGAGATTTCAAAGGTGTCCTCAGTCTAGGGACTGGCTCTGAACTCTCTGGGCAGAGCCCTTGTAATGTGCACAAGTAAATAAAGGGTGACTTGTTGATGTGATACCAGCCTCTGTGCAGTTATTTCAACAACCAACTAATGCTTGTCACTGTCTGATCTGAGACACACACACAGTCAGGGAGGATTCTCAGCTCCTTTCCTTTTTCAACGTCTATATCACTTTGCACTATCTAAAACCCTTTGAGAAAACTCCCAAACATGTTTTGCCTGGCATGATAGAATGTCAACCAGTGCAATTGCCCTGACAGATTTGTACCAACCAGCAGCTGATCCAGCCGAATGCTTTTGAGAAGCTGTCGTTTGTCTCTTTTCTGACCTTTTAAGAAAGAAAAACTTGCATTTATATGGCATAACAAGGTATAGAGCT